GAATTATGCTGAATAAACATAGGAATACAGGTATTCTTTTAAATTAATGTGTCTTTTTTGTCTCTGTTGGGTAAATGCTCAGGAGTGAAACTGCTGGGTCATATGGATGGTCCATTTTTAGCAATTTGAGGAAACCCTACACAGCTTTCCACAGTGGTTGAACCAATTTGCCTCCCTACTAGGGAGGTTCATCTCAGGATGAACAAGTAATCAAATAAGAATCCGATTATCAGGAGAAAAGGAAAAATTTAATTGTATATATATATATTAAATTATACACAACACACACACATATGGAGAAACGCTAACATATATGGGAGCAAAAAAAAAGGGTATTTATCTGGGCTTCCTTGATGGTGCAACATAGGAGATGAACCACAATTAACATAACATTGAATTGAGCTTTCAGAGAAATTCAGAGAAAGACATTCCAGACCTATATAGATAAATATATATTTATCACCCACATATACTTGTTCTAAAATTCTAAGAAAATTAAAAAAACATCCAATGAGGAATGAAATCAATGAAATTAAAAGTCAAGCTGCATTAAAATTAAAGTGTGGATACTAAATTTTATCAGTTAGGATACTGTTGATGAAAAGCAACAGAAAACTGATTCAGGTGGCTTAAAAGAGAGGAAAAAATAACATTTTATAGAACAAACTCTAAGTCATTAAGATTCCAAGACTGATTAAAACAAGGACTGATATTCAAACAAAAATATGCATCGACATGTAATTCACCCCATATTTCAGATTCTTTACAGTAAATCTAAATTTTGTCCATCTTGGTTAACCTGATGCAGCTGCCCCAGTCCAGATATGATTACATATAATGGAAAATGGGGCCATTCTCTTTAAATTTATTAATTTTTATTAATGAGAAAAAATTCCTTGTATTTCCCTAATATTTCCTAGGGCAAAATAACATCACACACTCCTATTTATACCAATATTGGTTTAGAATGAAATCACCATGGTTGGGTTAAAGTAGACCAGAGGTTCTCAACCCTGGCACTATTTACATTTGGGGCTGGAAAATTCTATGTGGGGAGTTGGCCTATACATGTAAGGTATTTAAAATCATCTCTGGCCTCTACCCACTAGATGTCAGTAGCACCTCTCGTATATGGCAAACAAAACTATCTCTAGGGTAGGCCTCCTTGGTGGCTCAGGGGTTAAAGTCTCAGCGCTATGAAGCTATCAGCATCCACTGAAGCATGAGTTGGATCCCCCACCAGCATGCTGACCCACATGGCACAGCAGACCTCTCCTGTCTTGACCACAGTTAGGTGTACTTCAGTAGATCTGCCTATTGTGCTCCCCACTCTATCTCTGGTGAATTATCTCACCCTTTGCACCTCTGACCTACACCCTAGTTCTTTTATGCATGAATAAAAGGTAAGTTATTTTTAAGTCTAGTTTTATTGCTTCAAAGTTTACTTTTTTTGAAGATGTATTTATTTATGTATACAAGAACAGGGGTGTAGGCCAGAGGTACAAGAGTGAGAAGATTCACTAGAGACAGAGTAGGGAGCAGAACAGCTATATCTAATGAATCATGGATTAACTATACAATGTTTTTAAAATATATTAGGTAAATATATACAAGCTTATCTAGTTGCCTGTTTTCCTACTACTTTGCACGTGAACATTTTCTACAAAAACTGTAAAGGATAAGCAAACAGTAAAAGTGTTGAATTTTAAAACAGCATTTTCCTATCTCTCAAAAAAAAAATTTCTTTAGCTCTTAATTATACTCCTGTAAACAGAGTTAACCTTAGGAATTTCTATTTACTTTATATCTAATCTGCAAGCCTCAGTGAACTTAAACCAAGAACAAAGGTGTACACACACTTCTGCATTCATACTACTGGCTCTTTTCTTCCTTTTTTTTTTTTTTTTTAAGTATTGAACTTCAGCCAAACATGAAATTACCTTGGGAAATAAAAAAAAAAAAAAAAAGGTGAAGAGAGAAAAAAAAGACCATGGGTGGTATCTGGCCTCATTTTATGAGAACACTCAATCTTATTTTAGAGGAAAACAAGATTTTTTTTTGGTGTGAGAAACATGAGAAGTAGAAAGTAGAGAGTTTGTCAGGCAAGCCTATTTATGTAAATTTGCAAGTGACTATGTTCTTCTTTTGAAGCAGGTGGGGCTGTAGATCAGGTGTGTGTGTGTCTATAAATCCACACCCATTTTTTAACCAGAAACACAAGAACACAATTCCAGTCAAGAGCACTCCCCAGTTCAGGTAAGCAAAATTTCCACATTATTTAGATGGTGGCCAAGCTTTACTATATTTCAGTGATTAATGTATTGCTAATCAAAAGTTAGATCTTCAGTAAAGGGTTGAAAAATAAATGTAATTATAATTTTTTTCTTAATAAACTGGATTGGATTTTCTTTGCTGTCTTAATACTTTCACTCTCTACTTAGAGATATTCAAATAAGTCAACACTTATTTAAAGGACAAAGATGGTCCTTTAAAAGTTGTGCTACAGGTAACAACTATTATTCCTTGTTTTTTTTTAATTTTGTATTACTTTAAAACAAGCAATTTTTATGTAATATCTAAGTAAATAGCAATGTTAAGTCACTTGAAAAGAAAAATACTAGCATGAGATTAATATTAACTAACTGGTTAATATTAATAACACCTAATTGTATATTCATGTATTTCCCAAGTGCCCTGGAAACTGATCCAGATCCATCACCATGTCATATTCACATGACCTCCCCCACCCCCACCCAGTGGCTTAAGTACAGACCTGGAACTAAGGGGCCCTCTATAGCTCATGTCCCCTTGAACTTAGAAAAACAATTGTTCATCCACAAATAACAATACACACACACAAAGGGGGAAAAAAAGACTCAAAAGTAACAATACATCACTGAATGACTTTGTCCAGAATATATTTAATAGAAAGTTTGCAGTTTATCAAAAAATGTGAAACAGAAAATTGATGGTTTGATTTTAAAGTGGAAGCATCTTTGATAGTATTATATCAATACTTGATATTTAAGGGGGGAAATGGCTCCCACTCTGAATTTAGCAACTTTAAAATCAGAGCACGGTGAACTTTCTTTCTCTTTGAATATACGCCACCTACTTATCCGTCTCTACCACACAGGACCTTTCTAATGCTTCCTCAAATGAACTTCTCTTGCCTCTTCTTTATATCCAAGATCTCGTCAAGAACTTTAAGGCAATTATGGACTCCCTCCCCCAGGAAAATACACAGAGGCAGATAAAATTTTACATGAAATTTCAGGGTCTTTTTGAGCCTCCTTTAGTTTACTTACAGATCTTCTCAAAGCCACTGAATCCAGACAAGACCCAGCCTTCATGGTTACTTCCATTTTTTCGCTTCAATTTTCAAACTACAAGAGTCTGCCCTCCCCAGATCACACTTTGTGTTCCTGATTGAGCTGCCTCCTCTTACCTACTAAGAATCTACTCTTTCTTTGTTTCAGTGTTTAGGTACTAGATGACAAGTTATTAAGATAAAAGATGACATTCTAAAATGTTTTATAGTATTAAGAAGTTAGAGGAACTTGAACTTCGATATTTACCAGTCACGTGGTTAATATTTAACAGGGTTTCAAAGGAGGCTTCATGTCTCATAAATCTTCTGATTTTCCAACAAACCTAGTATCATTTAATAAAGCAACTTCCAAGTTTGATAAGAATCACAAAAAGTCACTATCTTGTTGAGGAATTGACTAGTAAATAATGCAAGCCAACAAGATTATTTCAAGAGATCTTGAATAAACAGAAAAGATTTCTGTACATTTTATATTTTGAGGTAATTTTAAAACTGCATATGTCAACTACTTTCAAATGGGTTTATATGCTACAAATATTATAACTGCATATCTCACAATAAGCACTCTAAGTAACATTTACTATGATTTAGAACTTTTGATTGAATCTTAGTTTTAGTAACAGTACATTGAATTAAAGAGCAGTTTGACTTTTAACTGACCAAGGAATAATGCAGCTATAGGAAGTCTATACATATATTTAATTTATAGCAATATGGCAACAAATGTGATTTTTTTAAAAAGGACTGAGCTGAACACAAAGGACACAAAGCTGAGTAAATGATGGAAGGATAAAAAAGATAGATGATTATGGAAGAACTGAAAAACAAGGATCCTCCATATTTTATTTTTCTCTAAATCCTACTTTAAGCAGTAATTTGTTAATGCTTAATTTTATTATCTTAGTATAAGTTGAAAATGTTTATTTAATGCATTAGATCAAGAAAAATTAAAAGACATAGACTATGCATGCCAAAAGTCACCTATGCAGTGCACTTTAAAGTTGTAAGACCTTTAAAAAACAATCTTCTTTGAGTGTCACTATAGTGTTATATATTATGCAGCCTAATCGGATTTGAGTACCTGCTGAAATCTCTTTTAACTTCATTGTACTGCTCCCAAGATGCACAAAAAGCAAGTTTTCACTCAGCAGACATTTATAGAATCTAATTCATTTTGGAAATATTAAAACAAAATGCGAATGAAAGTTCTAGACAGCTGTACCATGTCAGCTCATATATGTGGAGCAACATGTCAGCATATACTTGGTTTTACTCAACAAGTATCTTTTTTTTTTTTTTAAAGATTTATTTATTTATGGATACAGAACTGGGTACAGGCCAGAGGTACAGGGATGGTGAGAGGATTCACCACACACAGAGCAGGGAGCAGAAAAGGCAGAAAGATGAAGTACACTGCTGAGGGGAGCGGCAGGCGGGTCAGGAGAGGTCTGCCTCCTCTCCCTCTCCATGTGGTAACCTCGGGGCAGGCGGGGAGGCGGGGATCAAACTCATGCGGAAGTGGCTTGCGCTTCTTAGTGCAGTGCTTTAAACTGCTGCGCCACCAGGGAGGGTCTCAACAAGTATCTTAGTGACAGTCAAAGTAGCTGATGTGGTTCTGAACTTTTTTCTCGTGATTTAACCTTTTTTAAGGGATTCTTGAGAACACAGGATGCTACATTCAGCTTTGGCTCTCTGCATCTTACTCGTCATAGTTCCTTCCAACCTTGCCATTGCAATCAAAAAGGAAAAGAGAACTCCTCAGAAACTCTCAAGAGGTACTAGAATCTCATTTTCTTTTCTCAATCAGTAATCTAGATTGTTCATAAATTTCTGGACTAAATGGAATGTTTTCTTGTGTACCATTTTAGAACTATTGCATCTTTTTAAGCAATGGTTGCTGATAACGTTGGTGAACAGAGCCCTAGTCCAAATATATGTTATAACGAGGTTCTAGAGCCCTCAAAATCTTGTCCATTTCTCTGTCCTCTATTTATTAAGGCAAGGAAAAAATGTGAAATGATTTTACACTAGAATCTCAAGGAAATTATACTCTATCCTACCCTCTTACAATTAGTCAATTAGATGTGTACTATATTGAGTCCAGAGAACAGCTGCAGTGATTTTAAGATCATAATCTCATTAGCTATATGCTCAGAAAACATTTCTTCTTTGTACTTACCATTTGTTTTCCTCTGAAACAAATATATTTTCGTCTTTAAAGATATGTCTCATTTTAAAAATACTTTCAAAATTTGCTTCTGTATCACCAGGTAACAGAAATGGGGGAAAAAATCATTCTCCACATAGCTAGTTCAAAATTAGTAGTACAAGACCCCTCTAGTGACCTAGGGGTTAAATCTCAGCACTGTCACCTGGATAGCCTTAGTTCTATACCAGGCCAGGAGGCTAAATCACGTGGCCCAGCAGACCTTCTGTCTCCTCCACTGCTCTCCTCAGCAGTGCGTTTCAATACACTAAGCCTGTTTTGCTCTCCATTCTGTCTTTGGTGAATTTTCTCATACACAAACCCCATACATACACATACCTCTGGCCTACACCCCAGTTCTTCTTAGCAAAATAAATAAAATCTTTAAAAAAAAATTAGTACTATAAAACACAAAAGCCTTGTTCAGTAACTGGAATGGTAATATAAATAGAGCACAGGCCACTACAGCATGATTTCAAATTCTAAAATATTGACGTTCTTTTGAAGTTCATCCATTCCTTAATAGATATACAGTACATCAGCCAATTAGTAATCAATATTCACCCAACTTAGTTTTACTTCATTTTAACAGTAACAGAAATATAAATCTAGACTATCAGTACATTTCTGCAAAAGGAATAAGAGGGAAATTTTTCTAAGCATAATTTATCATGTATCTCTTCATATAAGCACAATAACTAAAAAAACAATAAGCTCAGTGTTGTGAAGTGACAAGGACAAAATGAACCATTTCCCTTAAGGGTCCTATAGGAACAACACACATAACCATTACATAAGGCACCAACATTTCATAGAGTCACTTTCAACTTCCTATAAAAATTTTTCAGTGAAGTTTATGAAGAATATATTAAAATGCATAATAATTTTCAAGCAATTCCATGAGTCTGCTATTTCAGTTCTTTAGAAACTACTTTAGTAACTTTGACAGGTTAACAGCTGGAAACTCTATGATTAAGAACTAATGTTCATTTAGTTAAGTTTTTTACCATCTATTGTCACAAAGGGAACAATTGAAAAACTGTTAAATAAGTCAAAGCAGAGATGAGAGGGAAGTTTGGATGCAATGAGCAGAACAACACATGGAGCCTCCTGGAGCAGGGTGCAGCACCAGTAAAGAGAGTATTTAGGAGACAAAGGAAAATTAATTGGGAAAAGGTAATAAATGGTTCAAGAAAAAGTTATCTAAAAATATCTTAACTTCCACCCAGCATCTAATCTAGTACCACATATTGGAAAATGAGTAAAATTTAAGATATGTATGCATAGAAGAACTAGAGATAGAATTAATGAACAGATCTTGAAGAGAGATTACATTCTATACCACACTTGGCCTATTATGATTATGAGATAAAAATAATTGGAATATAATAGGACTTCCCAACAAGGTTATAAATTAACTGTTTAAGAGAAAGACTTTCATTGTTCTGTCTTGTGGATACCCAGTGCTAAGTGGAGTAAGGCATATAGCAGATGTTCTTTCAATATCTGTGGAACTAAGTTGAATAGAAGCTGAGATCAGTGATTTTTCCCATAGCTGAATTTCCAGCATTAACTATAACTGGCAACACAGTCGGGAAATTAAGAAGGATCCCAATCTCAGTGACTGTTTCTACACTATTATTAGTTAAACACAATTTAGTATGAAGTTGCATGTGTTCATGTGGCAAGCAAAGTTACATAAAAAATCATTCATGACTGTTACCCTTTCAAGTTTGAAAGGTTTCTGCTAATTTAACTGAAACAAAGTGTTTTCCAGTGTTTCAATAAGATGGATACCAATAAAATTAGACAACAACAACAATGGTAAGAGTATAAAATACTGAAATTACTCTGAAAACAGTCAGCATTTCCTCAAATGATTAAATTTAGAGTGACCCTATGGTCCAGCAATTGCATTCCTAAGTATATACCTAACAGAAATTAAAACAAGTCCACCCCAAAGCTTGCACACAATGTTTATGGCAGCATATTCATAAATGGCCAAAGAAAATGCAACCATCTATGCATAAACTGTTGAACAGCTCAATAAAATGCAGTATGTTCATTCATACATGTACTAATACTTAGACATGTGAAAGAATAAACTGTTACATGCTACAACATAAATGGACCCTGAACACATATTTTTTAAAAGCTTTAATCATGAAAGACCGCATATATGATTCCATTTATAGGAGCTATCCAGAATAAGGAAATCAACTGAAACATCGAAACAGAAAGTAGATTGATAGGGTTGGGAGATAGAGGGGTTAGGGTTTGAGAGCTAAAGATTACAAGCTTCCTCTTTTTTTTTTTTAAGATTTATTTATGCATACAGAACTGGGGTACAAGCCAGAAGTGCAGGCATGGTGACAGAATCCACCAGAAGCAAAGTGGGAAGGAAAACAGGCAAATCCATGAAGTATACTGCTGAGGGGAGGTCTGCTACACCATGTGGGTCACCTCCCTGGCCCAGAATAGAACTTGTGCAGAAGCAAGCATCTGCATCTAGCTCGATAGTGCTGCACTTTAACCCTCTGTGCCACCAGGAAGGGCCTTATAAGCTTCCTCTTTTAGGTGATAAAAATATTCTATTATTGGTTTTGTTGTTTTTTGCAAACTTTTGTTTTTCCAAAAAAAAAAGTACACACCTCCCGTGGATGAGTTGTATTGGTATGTGAGTTATATTTTCATAATGCTGTCTGCAAAACAAAACAAAACAAAACAAAAGCACAAATGAACAAAAATACTAGAACCATTTTATCTTGCTGCATAATTCTTGGTCACATTTTAGCCACAATATTAAACCCAGAAACCTCAATATGACAACATTTGAAACATAGTAAAATATAGGGGGCAAACAAACCTGCACATATTTCTATTTTCAAATGAATTCAATCTTTGTCATCTGTAGAGTAAGACATTTCCTAAAAATACTCTGGGTTATCTCTGGATAAACTGTACATTTCTAACCTTAAGATATTTAACCTATAATATACATTCCTAGTTCCTCATATCAATTCTTTAAAGGCTAGCAGTTTCTTTCTATTCTCTTCTTTCTGCTTCACCTTCACTCTTCAAAACATCTGTGATTTATTGTGACTCTCAATCATGAACTTCCCACACCAGAATTCTTTCTGTGTCCGTAGTTAAAACTTTGGAATTCTTTTCCCCACAATATGTACTGATTTTGAAAGGGTCACCATCTCTTGGCACTTAAATACAATGGCGAGGTCTAAGGTATTTTTGACAGTATGAAAAGATTAACTGTTATTTCCTCTTCCTGATCTGAAAACCGGGGCTTTTGTGTGGTCAAGAGATATACTTTGAATGACCACTAATTATAACAACATTTAATAAGCACTCAGTTGACTGAGGTTTGAAACACTGTCACAAACCCTCAGCACTGTAATCTAAAAGAAAACCAACTCATATGTTTAGTTATAATTATGCCCCCTCTATATCACATGTCAGAAAACTGCTTGGTAATTTAGCCGAACATCTGTAGGTAGACATTTGATTATCAGATGCTCATTTCAGCACTCTTCTGCTATGCTGGTTAATGTACATTCATTTTCTTCTTCTATTTTAGGGTGGGGAGATGGCATCACATGGGTGCAGACTTATGAAGAAGGTCTCTTTCAAATTCAAAAAAGGTAAAACACCGTTAGTTAATCTTGACAGACTCTCCTGATAGGAGAGTCAAAACTATCATGTTAGCTTTTGAAAGTTCAACACAGGTAGTTACTATATTCTTTTGTGATTATTTAGATAAAGAGTTGACCTTAGCATTTTTTTTTTTATGAACAAGCACTCAAAATATTTTGTAGCAGTTTCTTAATTAGCCAAGCAAGCTCTTGAATATAGAGTGTCTGAACAAAACAGTATCACTAATAGAGGCTAAACAACTTAAATAGAAAACTAATAAAGTGACAATAGTCAGGCCTGTCTGATTATCAGAACAATTCGGAGAGTTTTCTTTAAAATCTTTATATTAATAAGATATAAAGATATATAATAATATAGAAAGATATATTAATAAGATATAAACCTGCTGGTGGTACAGCAGGTTAAAGCACAGCACTAAGAAGCTAAAACCCCTCCGCAAGAGTTCCATCCCCGCCTGCCCCGGAGGTGACCACATGGCGTGGCAGACCTCTCCTGACCCAGCCGCTGCTCCCCTCAGCAGTGTACTTCGTCAGTCGGCCAGTTCTGCTCCCGACTCTGTTTCTGGTGAATCCTCTCACTGCCCCTGGCAGTGTACCCCACTCTGGTACTGTACCCCAGATCTGTATGAATAAATAAATCTTTTTTAAAAATTATATTAATAGGCCCTCCCTGGTGGCGCAGCGGGCTAAAGCACAGCACTGAGAATCTAAAGCCGCTTCCGCATGAGTTCGATTCCCGCCTGCCCCGGAGGTGACCACATGGCGTGGCAGACCTCTCCTGACCCAGCCGCTGCTCCCCTCAGCAGTGTACTTCATCAGTCGGCCAGTTCTGCTCCCGACTCTGTCTCTGGTGAAGCCTCTCGCCACCCCTGCACTTCTGGCCTGTACCCCTCAGTTCTGTAGGCATAAATAAATAAATCTTTAAAAAAAATTATATTAATAAAAGTAATGTAAATAAAAATAAGAAAAAGAAGAACCAAAGATTTAAAAGATAGTTCACAAAAGACAAAATTATCCTAAGCATGTAATATTAACTTTTTTACATCTTTGTTGATGTGTGATGTGCAAAGGTGAAGGTGTAACCTCATCAATCATGTTATATACATATTTAGTGAAATGATTACAAACAAGTTAATTAACACATCCACCCTCATGCAGTTATCCTCTATGCACCATGCTGCGCAGTAGATCCCCAGGTCCCCAAGACGTGCTCAGTTATAACTGGAAGTTTCTAACACAGAACCGACTTCATACATTTTCCTTGATTAGTCCCGTCTCACCCTCAGCCTATGGGAAACATGGATTCTTTACTTGTTGAATTCACGTCTTTTTTTTTTTTTCCACACAAATACATGAGAACTTACAGTATATGTCAAATTTTAAAATGTCAAATTCTAAATATTAATTTGACAAATGATGCGGAGAAGCAGTTATGGTTGACAAACTAAGGTCTTATAAAATTTCAGAAATACAAGTACCAAAAATATTTACTCTTCCAACACAAACTTCTTATAATCTGGTAGTCTAGATCATGAGATTTTAGACCAGGATCACCTGTTCTTATTCAATTGTGACATCAGAATAGCTTTTATAAAAACAAAATCTATATACACATATATATGTATATAGATAGATATATGTATATGTATATTTATATATACACACAATATATATATATATATATATATTGTGGCCATGAAATTCACAGGGAATTCAAATTCGGTGTCATCAAGTCAAATTTTACTTTAGCATAGGCTCATCTTTTTATTACAACACGTATTTTCTTTGACTGTTTTTGCACAATAATGACAGAGCTGAGCAGTTGCCAGTGAGAGCACATGGTCTGTGAAAACTTAAATATTTACTATCAGTCTCTTTGTTGAAAGTTTTTGAGTCATTCTTTTAGATTTTCCCTACTTCAATTTCTGCTAGAAATATATGCTTTTCTTGAAAAAAAAATAGTGTCTTGGTGTGATGTCTAACCAATTTTGTTGTAGGTGAACTTTATATTCTAATTTTTCTGTTACTCTAAAATAACATGGAAGTCAATTAACTACCATAAAAACAACTTTTCATGGTTTAAAAATCAGTATGACAACTGAACAATTCATTGACAGGGACCTGTCACTGAGATGAGAATGAAAATTCATTTTTTAAAACAAGAGTGTGAAAATGGTCAAAAACCTTTTATAAAAACTAAAAACAATTAAAATAATTAAATACAAATTTTGACACCTGAAATATAAGATATTCACTGGAAATGAATATTTTGCTCATGATATCCTTTCATCTTTGGAGACAGAACTGATTTTTTTTTTCTAATACTATAGTGTACATAAGAGTCATCTACTGAGCTTGTAAACTACAAATATTCTTGGACTCCAACTTTAGAAATTCTTATTAAATGGGTCTGGGACAGAGCCTGAGAATTTACATTTCCAATGTATCCCCTGATGAAATAACTTCCCAGATCTGGGGCATGGTTTGAATAACTCTGCCACATTGTCATGATTTGTCATTCTGAGATTTTTACTTTGTCTCCTTGGAAACACTAAATTTTAAATCTAGTTTCACTTTACATTTCTATTCAAACTTAATCTGTTGATTTAATTTTATCTATTTTAGTAACAAGCCACTGATGGTTATTCATCATTTAGAGGATTGCCAATACTGCCAAGGTAATTCTGCACCTGAGATCTTATTTCTAAAATAAAATGGGAAAGTGACCTGATCAGAAAATGCCAACTGAGGAACCAAAAAGACTCCTGACAAAGTACTGCCATTATACAAGTACTCAAAATCTACAATGATTGAGAACTATTATATATATTTATAGTGTATGTCCTTTAGAATTTTACCTCTCTGCATCCACAAAAAGAAAAAAAGCAGGGAAAAACTTCAAGGAAATGTCATTTTTAACCAATTAATCAGTGAGTTCCATCAAGTTATAAAATTAGTGGTTCATTAATATCATTATTCCTTGATGTCTCCCAATGAAGGACAAAATGACAATGGGCCAGTGAACTATTTATGTACAAGTTATATATGTAAACAAGCACAAAATGTTGTTTATCTTGCTATCTTATACTGGAAATATCCTTATTCTTAAAATTAACTGGGGCTTTATCTTCTCCTATAGCACTTAAAAAAATGTTTGCAGAAAGTAAAGAAATACAAGAAATGGCTAAGAATAATTTCATCATGCTGAATCTCGTGGTATGGGAACTTTACAATGTTTCTTACTAATACAACACACAGAAAAATTTGAACTTTTTTCTATCCAAAGTGTTGATACTAGAATGTTATGTAGAACTGTAAAAAGCAAAAATAAGCAATTAAAAGAAAACTTTGCTCATATAACTTATTTTTCAAATTATCAAAAACAATCCAAAATAATCCAATCTAATAAGATTCATTACTTTCTTCTGCTAGCATGAGACCAATGATAAGAATTTATCACCTGATGGGCAATATGTACCTAGAATCATGTTTGTGGGTATGTATGTGATCTCATGCATCAGATCAATAAAATTACTAGAATTATTAACTTTTTGCTTTACTTTTTATTGCTGATTGTTTTAAATAAGTTTCATGATGAGTATAACATAGTATATGCAGATATTAATTTATAATCATATAATTTATACCTAGAATCTATGTAATGTTATAAGCCAATGCAATCAAGAAGTTTTTTGAAGTGCTAATTCAAATTCTATACTTTTAATGCAAAGTCATAACTGATCTGAGCAATAACAATTGTAGTTACAACCACAATTACTACACATTGGTAATCTGTATTAAATGTGTATTAAAATACATTTTAAATATATGTAAAAAACTAACTCATTCTATTAAATTAATATCAGTGCTGACAGTAACGACACATTAAAATGAGATTTTAGGTTAGCTTATAATAAACTCACATGTATAAAAATGCAGCATGAGCTTGAGAATATATTAAGTAATGTATCAATGACTCATTTTTTTTTCTGGACAGATCCTTCTTTAACAGTCAGAGCTGATATTACTGGAAGATACTCTAATAGACTATACACATATGAGCCTCAGGATTTACCAATATGTAAGTATTGACAAATTTCTTAGACAGTGGTACTGACACTTAATTGGTCAAAGGCTGTCCCCAAACAGTGCTATTTGAAAATAAGCATCAGTGACCTGATGGTGGTGGCAGTAGATATGCAAATGCTTTGCTCCCACCAAAATCAGAATTTCTGGGGCATCTCCATATCTCTGTTTTAACAGGAATATCTAATGGTTATTATGATGACTAAATTTTAAGAACATTAAAAAAGAATCTAGTGCATATTAAAATTGAATGTAAAAGAGTAAATCCATTGTTCTGGTCTCAAAGATCACATGTGTTTACCTCTAATAAAAATCTTCACAAAATTCACTATCAACTATATTTAATAAAATAACTGTCAGACCCAGTGACAAATACAAAATGATCAATTAATACATATATATTCCCTCAAAACCCTTATGATAATATTATTTAGCATAAAGCTGGTCTATCAGCTTAAAGTTTTCTAATATTTAAATTTATGTTTAGAATAAAATTATTTAATGTTGCAGATAAATTCCCATATTCTCATAGCCATTAATTTAATTTAAACACATCAATTCTGAATTGGGGTTAATAGATTATAATGTGTTATTTTCATGTCTTAATTTAATGATATATTTTACTTTTATTTTAGTGATAGAAAACATGAAGAAAGCATTAAAACTTATGCAGTCAGAGTTATAAGGAATGGCCTCCAAAAGGTAAAAATCTCATGAAGAAAAGATTAACTGACTGACACTAACTGAAAGTATATAGATTTTGTAGCATTACCATTTAGATTTTTGATGTGCTAGTGAAATAATATTTCAATAAATGTCAAAATTTGAGTGTGACAAGTAGTAATTTGACTTCTGCCTGTATCCATAGTAAATAAGGCTTGTCATGGTAAAGAAAGGAATGCCTAAGTAAGAGATATTTGCATCAGTTATCTTTATTTCTTTAACACTCTACCAGACAAGCTATTGTTAATTATCCTCCCTCAGAGATATTGAACCTGCTAGTGTGGTCAAAAATGACCTTCTTGCACCTGCCAAAACAAACAGATGCGTCTTAGGCCTCCATGGTGGTACAGGGTTAAGTCCCAGCACTAGCAAGCTATCACCAACAACTGTAGCACGAGTTCCATCCCCTGCCAGGGAGGTGACACACATGGTATGGCAGACATCTCTCCAGTATCACCCACGGCTCCCCTCAGCAGTGTATTTCAGTAGATCTGCCTGTTCTGCCCTCCACTGTTACTGCTGAATCCTCTTACCCTTTGCATCTC